AGAAAAAAATAAGCGCGTGAAATATGAAAACTTGCATGTGAACTGGATGAGAAGATGTTATGATATAATCATTAGTGTCAGTCAAACATACTACTCACGTTGAATACTTTTTTACTTGTATTTTAGTAAAAAGACATGCACTGTGATCTCTCAAAACCGTATTTAGCCATAATAAATCCAGAACAGACCATTTTGTAACACTAGAAGGCACTACTAGTCTTCAATGGGGAGGAAGCGCCTAGGTAGCTTATTCCCAGGACTGCTGAAGCAAGTTCCAGTCAAAGAGAGCAGCTGGTACAATTTTCTACAGATAGCCATAGATGGGTACAACAGGATGTAGTCCAGTTGGAATTAGGTGACATTAACAGCCAACAGGATCCCATTTGGACCTATAATACAGTTTATTGTGGTACAGGTGCTCAGATTACGCAGCTCAATGTACAAGTGTCCATTCGTTGCTTATTCTTGCTAGTTCACCTGAACATAGATGATGGTCCAGGATGTGACTTTGACACCCACAGACTGGAAATGCAGCTGGACAAGCAAGAACAAGCAATGTCTAATCCATATTTCCCGCTTGTCTAATCCATAGTTGCTCATGGGTATCATTTGATGGCTGCATTGTTGTCCCCAGCCCTCAAATATCTCACCCCTTAGCCCTCCCTTTATAGTGGGCAACCAGACTGAACTCAGTGAAGCCTGATCCAGAAACCACATTAGTAGCTTTGCCAGAACCACACCAGCAGACAGTAGGCAAGGCGGTTAAGTGACAGAACCTACCAGCTCCTGCATCTCATCAAACAACAATTAATTATATCAAATGCATTTTTATCCAAAGGAAGAGAGACAGTTAAAGATTTAAAAGCATTCCTGTTAGATAGCAGTTAATGTTTGATCAATACAGATAATGGTTGTTGAAAATGAGGCAATGCACAAAACCCTGTGTTCTGTGTTGTCAGTTTTTACAGTCTCCATGTATGCTTATGAATATTATCTACTGAAAGTTTTAATTCACTGCATATATCTTGCTGAAATCATGCAAGTAAAATGGGAGCTCTACAATGTCATCCATTCTGATTGGCCAAAATACTTACTTACCTTTACTTATTTTAATACTGTTGTGTTTAATTCTGTTTTAATGTTTGCATGTTTGTATATTTTAAATTGTGTAGTCATACTTTTACTGTAACCTACTTAAGAGTCTCCTTCAGAAAAGATAAAGCGGGGTTCAAATAAACATAATAATAATAATAATAATAATAATAATAATACCTCTACTCACATCTGCTTCTTGTTACATTTGGCAAAATCACGCTTTTAGGATAATTAAGGAAGCATATCCCCAAAAACATACTTTAAATTGGTTTGATGTTTTGAAAGCAAAATATTCTTGTTGCAAGAATACCATTTATCAACACTCTTCCAATATCATGCTTCCCGTTCCAAGAATAACTAGACACCACACATTATACAATGTGGAAAAACACAGTTTTTGATAGGGTTACATAAAATGACACCTAGATGTTCCTGATACTGATCAGTCCCTGGATTATTTATACTGCCACCTCTGTGCAGGCAGGCAGAGAATCCTGACCATCCCATGGCGCCAAACCCAGTTTAATCTGCCAAATGGCCACACTTATTATCATGTCCCCCTTTCTCCTCATTGCAGTAGCCAGCAGGTACAATGTGAGTCCTGCTAGTCATTCATCACTTGGCCAGAGTCATTCCTGGGGATGAGCAACAAGCACAATGCATATCATGCTCACAGAATGGCACAGGATAGTGAGTGCCATCCTGTGCCTAAGCTCAGAGAACATGGGTTGGCCGTGTAAACAGTTGTGTCAGTTCTGTCTAGAAATCTTTCACAGCCGTTTAAATGGACCCAGCGTTGGGAGTTTCTCTGGATTCTGAATAGAATTTGAAGCAACCCGCAAGTTTTGTTAGCACAAGGTTCTTGTGGGTTTTTTCGGGCTATAGAGCCATGTTCTAGAGGCTCTTGCAACAAGCCTCTAGAACATGGCTCTATAGCCCGAAAAAACCCACAAGAACCTAGTGATTCCAGCCATGAAAGCCTTCGACAATACTTTGTTAGCACAGTTTGATGCTGCATTAAGTAGCTTTGGCCCATATATAGCTGTTACAGAGCTGATTCAGCCATCTTTCACACTAAGTGGTCAGTGTAAATGTGCCCCAAGTGTATGAGTGTTTAACATACCTGAACTAGCATTTTTTTACAAAAGTGAAATGTCCAAGACAGCCTAACCTGTATCCATTTACAGTTTACAGGCCATCATGTTTATTAGGAGAGTTTATGCATTGTAATATCAAATACAGTTTCCTTTTCTGGTTTGGAAGGCAAATACAAACCACAGTCTGCTACTTTATACGTTACAGCACACCATGGTTTGTCCTGAACAGAAAATGAGCTCAACTCTGCATGAACTTTAGCTCATCTGAACTATCCCTGGAAGGTACAAGCATGTAGGGGTGTGCAATGGATCTGTTTATTCCAGTTATTTGCTTTCTTGATCTAGAAAGACATGCTATATATAACTTGATATTCAGTATATTACTAAACTGGAGAATTATGCATCTTCCACATAACCTAGTAGCTTCATCTGCTTTGTATAACAAACAAGCAATTTGTAGGGCTCAGCCTGTGATTATCTCCTTGCCCCAGGCTTCTAAGGAGAATGAGCATGAGTCTGCAGAGGTTCCAATGTCTGAGTTAAATGATCAGGTTTCTGCTGACTCTTGGGGGTTTGTGAATGGAGATGATGGTCAAGAGAGTACAGTTAGCCAGAGTGAACCTGAGGATTCTGGGATAGTTGGTTCACAAGACAAAGATGCTTCGGTGCAGGCAGAAAAACAGGCCGAGGAAAAGGTTGAACAGTCAAGGCCAAATAGTGATATTGAAAAGAATGTACTAATTGGCAAACCAAGGGAGTCAAGCTTTGACCGAAAAGGCCAGATTTATCAGGATTGCCACCTGGAATTGGGGAGGAGGCGCTCTGCAAGACTAAGTGGAAAGAGAGGTCAGAGAGAGGTTTCCCAAGAGAAATGGAATGCTTTTGCTATGGCTTTCTGAATAAATATAGGGCCTGTGAATCTATAGTCTTCAGTGACTCCAATGTTTGGTTTTCATGTACAACCATGTCTTTTGCTTCATGCCTGATATCCATGCCTTCCTGTTCATGCTGAGATTCCTGTGTACTTCTGCCTTGAATTCATGTTCATGCAGATATTTTTGTATGCTGCTTGTCTTGGTTTCAAGTTCCTGCATCTGGAAGTTTGCTTCTGTTTCTTCAGGGACTTTGGTCTATTGCTTCAATAAACTGCTTTGCTTATAAAGAACATTGGCTTGTTTCCGGGTTCAAAGGTGCCAACTCCAGCCTTGGTGTGCAACACAATTTCTACTTTAAAGAAGCTTGGAAATCTTAACAGCCATTCTCTTACACATTCTGGGGCACAGATTGCACCCATTTCTTGTTAAAATCTTTTTTAAACTCTGAATGTAAAAGTTAAATGAGAGGCATTTAATGCAATCTGAAAAATATTCAGTTCAATTAAAAATAATTGATGCATGGTGAAATAATTCTTCCCAAAGCTGCTGTAAAATCTTCAAAAAAATAAAGCTACTTAATAATTTTCTTCTCCTACAGGCTAGAGAAGCATTATTGCATATTAAAAATTGGAATTCAGTTTTCCCAGGAGGTACAAGAAAGTTATTAAAACAACCTATTTATTGTTGATATAACTATCCATTTGTGCTGTACAAAAAGTAACAATTTCAGTACATTAAGAGAAAAACTAATTAAGATATAATTAGTATTTTCTGTATTTTGATAATTAAGGGTTAGTTGGCTATTCCTTTTCGTATTCCTGTTTGTTGCATCCTGACAATATCTTTAATGAGCAACTAACACTATTTAAGCCCTGATGGCTGAAGAGCTTAGTGACCACAACTACATTACTTCCATTTATCACTGCCTCTTTACCTATAAATTAAACCAGCCCTCTAGCTATGTTGATCTACTTTATATCAATTTCTTCATCCATATCAGCTGAATATGTATGGCATTAACCTCATTTACTAGTTGAGAAAAGATGAATTAAAATGAGATCCAATTCCAAACCACACAACGCAATTTCAAAACAGCCTGCTAATTTCCACCACCTGTCAGAACAAGAATCCTTTACTTTCTGATAATAAAATAAAGTACATTTCTCTACAGTGTGGACCTCTGCCTGTACAACTTATGTAATTAATCACTAAAACCTCTAAGATCTAATCCTGAAATAATCTATGTACAGTCAATTCTTGTACCCCCAATAAACAAACATTGCCTTTGCACACACTATTAGTGCTGTAAAATACACTGTAGATTCATATGTTCAAGTGCAAAGCCATTTCTGATTTCTTACAATAAGAATAAAAACACAAATGCCTGGTAGACATATGCTAAGGAAACAAATACAGCAAAGAACAAATGAATATTGCTCAGAGATGCACAGTGACCAAGACTGTGTTTTAATTAATTCCATTTGAAAAAACTGATTTGTCAGAAAAGTCAATAAATTTCAACTGTGATGCGAAAAAGTTTAGAAACATACTATGTGATTCTTCTCCACCTTTTCCTTTTAATTCTGTGATTATGGAGCACAGAAAGAAACACAAAAAGGAAAGTAAGATAAAATCAAAGATGTCCTGACATAAAATACTAGTTGCTACTTCCAGATAATATTTATCAATGTGTGATATTTCAGTTCTAAAGCTATCAGTATTGTGGGATTCCTTCTAAAAAATTTTACCCTCCACAAACTCCAAATATTACTCGAAATGTCCTTTGCAATGACATTTAACAGATTCCTCTATATTTTTATGGCTCAGCTCCATAGAAACCACATAACTATAGATCTTTTTTTTAACTAAATCATTTTTCAGAAATAAAAGTTTTGATTTAGATACCAAGTTGAGATGAATGCAGAAAACTTACCCATACTTTTCAGAAACTTTTTCAGCGCTTGCTGGACAAACAAAAACATCCTAAATATGGAAAGTCATGTCAATATGGAGCTGGTTTCAGAACAGTATCATCAACATTAAGCTTTAAGCTTTTCTGTTTAAGATTAGAAAGGCCTTGAAAATGCAAGACCATCTTTGGGGTACCATTTGCAAAGGGCTGACATTGTGAAGCTTTTGTCCTACTGTGTAATTCAAGCTATAAGATCAAGTCTATTAGTATAACAGAGGATAACACTACGAACAAAAAACAAGACTGAAGTTGGCATTAGATTATGCTACACAATTTACACAACAAGGAGTAAATTGACCACGTAACACAATATTTATTTAATTTACCTTTCTAGTCTTCCTGAGACAACCCGCAGCATGAAACCAATACAAACAAGTAAACATTGATCATACTCTAATTGGTTTAATAGATACATTAATTCCAGATCAACAGAACTCTAGGGCATATATTCATGGTCTTCAAATTAACTTCCACGGATGCCTTTCATTTATAGATAGTAAGACCGGGACCTGGACCTACTGTATATTCCAGGGTACTAGACGACTTTTTAGGCTTGGAAAATCTTATAAAAAGTTGGGGGTCGTCTATTACGCCGGGTATAAAATTAAAATAATAAAATTAAAAACTACGACTCCCAAAATGCCTCAGCAAGGCCATCCCTGGCACGCCGCAGCCCTTGGGGTCTCTCTCTCTCTTCCTGCTCCTCACCAGTAGAGCCTCTCGGTCTGGAGGGCCTTGGCCTCGGGCTTCCCTCCTCCTCCGCCTCCGCCTCTTGCTCCGCTGCCTTGGCTTATGGCGGCCTCCCGGGTGGGCTCCCCATCCTTCCTCCCTTCCTGGCTGCCTTCCTTGCTCAAGCCGAGGCCTCTCCCTTGTTGGCGCATGGGCCCCTGGGTTGCTTCCTGCGCCGCCTCCGGAAGGGCCTCCCAAGAAGCACCTCTTCTCCCGTGAGACAACGTTGTCTCGTGGGAGAAGAGGCATTTCTCGCGAGGCCTGGCCAGGAAGAAGGAGAGTGGCCTGAGCAATGGTGGTTTCTTTTTCCAAGCGTTGTCTCGTGGGAGAAGAGGCACTTCTCATGAGGCTTGGCGGGGCTGGGAGGCAGAGGCGCGATGGCAGCGGAGTGGGGCCAGGAAGAAGGAGACTGGCATCAGGAAGGACAGTGGCCTGAGCAGCACGGGAGGCTCTTCTGGAGGCGGCGCAAGAAGCAGCCAAGGGGCAACCGCACACCAGGAGTAGAGGAGAGGAAAAAGAAATCACCTGGCTGGAATGCGGAGTCGTCTTAAACGGCGAGTATATCCCTAACTCTCTATTTTGTGTTTAAAAGTTGGGGGGTCGTGTTATAGCCCCAGTCACCTTGTATTCAGAAATATACGTTATATTTTTTCTAATTTTTATACTACAATTTTGACTACTTCATACAAAATAAATGAAAATATGAGAAGCAATATTTAATGAATATGACTGGCCAAACGCAATCACAGTGTGCATCCCTATACTATCAGCTTTTACTTAGAGGCATATTTAATATTTAAAACAGCACTACGAGTCATAATAATCAGCAATTTTGTAACAGGATGCATGTCCTTCTCAAATCTTTATGATGCTAAATGGTGATACACACACAAACACTAATGTTTGTTTAAAGCAGGGCTGGACAACTGAGGAAGACTAGAGGGCTACACCTGGTCCTGGAATAATATCTTACCCCTCAAACACACATATCCCAGGACATAGGGGGAATATTGTGGGCCTTCTTTGCTCTCAAGAGGGCATTCTAAGACATTTTTAGGGAAACATTTTTTTTAAAAAAAGTTTAAAAAGCAAACACCTCCCAACAAAGGACACCCCCAGGCAGGAAGCAACCAGGCCTTGAAGCTGCAAAGCCATTAAATGCTAATTAAGCCAGCTAATTACAATATTCACAGTTGCCTCAAGCAGACAAGAGTTCTTTCTCCCACCCTGGACATTCCACAGATATATAAACCTCTCTTGCCTGGTTTCCAATAGACCTCACAACCTCTGAGGATGCCTGCCATAGATGTGGGCAAAACATCAGGGGAGAAAGTTTCTGGAACATGGCCATACAGCCCAGAAAACTTAAAGTAACCCAGTGATTCCAGCCATGAAAGCCTTCGACAACACATTTTTTAAAAAATTCACAAAATTTAATATTGTCGCTGAGGATTCACAAGGGCTCCAAACATGTGGTAATGTCCTTTACAACCCTAGAAATCATGTTTGTGGGTTCCTGGGTCCAGAAAAATGGTCCTGAGGGCTATGAGTGGCCCACATTTCACACTTTACCTACACATAATTTAAACAAATGGAATTACTCTATTTCTTTGATTCTAAGATGCACCCCCAATATAAACATTTCTAAAATAGAGCACATCTTCCAATCACAGGTGCTTAAAGCTTTTTTTATTGGTGGTACCGAAATTTACAATCAATGGTGCTTAGAATCAAAGAAAAACAGCATTATATGCTTACAATACAACATTTATGTAACATACCAAGTTTTTTGTTAAAAACCACACTCTCTTCTCATTGCGATCAACTGACTTTTCTGTGAAATGTAAGATCTTCTGCTGCATGTAGCAGTGGTGCAACATGGTAAGTTATTGTTTTCATTATAGATGAGAACGTAAGAAACATATGACGTTAACATCCCTTTCAACATAACTGCTCTGCTGTACAAATAGCACATGGGTTATGTCTCCCTTATCCAAAGGCTGGGAATAGAAGTATTTACATATGCATACATAATTATATTTATGGAGACTGGAACCAATTCTAAATAAAAACATTTGTTTTACATATATTTTATACACATTGCCTAAAGGTAATTTTATATCATACTTGTGTGTGTGATAAAAAATTTGGGTACACCGAATCATCTTTCTGGTATCACGGTTTGAGCCACCCATACGGCCATTTCAGATTTTGGAGTATTTTAGATTTTTGGATAAGGGACACACAACCTGTATTTCAATTTTTCAAACAACTAGTAGTTGTCATGGTTTAAAGTTAACTAAATCATATTTTGAGTGTTTCCAATTTTACAAAATTATGCTTGAGCTACACATGTCAGACCATCACTATGCCATTCACATACCATACTCCTGTTAATATCAGCGGATAGGAACAGCCATAAGCTGTTAAAACACTTTCCAGGAAGACTCACGCTCGTGCTGGAGATTAATAAGATTGCTGTTTACAGTAATGTTGGCATCATTTGTGCTTTGCATGGTTCAAAATCTTTCTCTTGTAAGGAATCAAGGTGGCTAGCAACCACACCATCTATTGACGATATTAAACAAATCAAATACAAAAATTAAAAGACAATTGAATACTGGTGTGTGGATATAAACATATGAAATGTTCCTTGCTTAATAGCACAGGTAGACAACTTTGGAAGCTTAGGGGGTATACTCGCATCCAGGGAGACCGTAAAGGGCCAACAAAAATGGTCTGCTGGGATTCATAAAACTGGCCCATGGGGAGCGAATGCAAGACTTTCCCCACTTTACAGCAGTGGACAACTAGCAACAAAATATATCAAGTTTTTGGAGCATTTCATATTTCTGGATTGAAGATGTTCAACCTGTATAATCTTCAACATAGAAATATGGTAGCTTAGTTGTGACTAAACTAGCCTAGGAAATGCTGCTTCAAATGGCTTTATAGCACAAGTGCCTCAAAATCCTCTAACTATAAAGGGCAAATGTGAATATTTATTCTCCACTCATAAAGATATTTCTCCAACCAACACCCTTGCAAGGTCATTTGGACCCTGCATAAAGCAAAGAGGAATTAAATGGAAGGCTATACCTGTGCCCTGAAGTGAGAGAGGAAAAAAATCCACATTCAATTGAATACTTTTGATTCCTTCTTTCTCTTTTTCAGCAAGAGCTACTCAGGGAGAACATTATGCTGAAATGCAATCTCATAAATATCATTAAAAACCATAACAATATGAAAGTGTAATACATAGAACAGAGGGAGACATTTCCCACTAGAGCTTCTGAATGTCCCTATTGCTTATATTTCCTCAATAGAATGAAATAACCACATTAAATAAAGAATTGAAAGAACATGTATAATTTCCACAGCACAAGATAGGAAAGGTTAACAAATTTAAAAGATAACTATAGTAATAAGGACACCACAGTGTTTTGCATTACCATAACTTTACACACAAATACCAAGTATAACAAGTTGAAGGAATTAATATTTGAGAAAAGCTGTAGCAAGGTTACCTAACACAGCCTTGTCTTTTGTATAACTAGGTACAAGAAATCTGTAAGATATTATCCTATTTCTGCCAGCCATTATGTGAAGGAAAACATTTCTTAATAGTTGACAAACTTGCCAGTTTTATAATATACCTAGTATAGAGTTGGCCACAATATTGTAATCATGGTATAATAGTTGCTTCAGTTAACACACTAAATTCTCCCTAATCATCACCAATACATCACCAAGGACAGTAAAAGAGAATTTACAATTGTGTCTCAACAGCAAAAAACAAAACAAAACAAAACCCCAGATTATCCTTCATCAAGCTTATACACAGAGCTTTTTCTTAATTTAAACAGTGGGCAAATGGCTGTCATCTTAACTAGCTCCAGTTTTGCATCTTTCTATATTTCTGTTTTCAAACACATCTTCTTCTAATCAATAAGAGTACATATATGCAGGTAATACATAGTACAGGATTTACTGCAGGGATATAATGCCATCTGCTGCTACATTTGCTGCTATAGCAGGAGGGAAAGAGAGATGTAACTGGTACTATAGACAGAAGCAGGCAGCTAAGCTACAGAGTCAAATTATTTTTGTTCATGCCACCAACCGGGAATTAAACCTAGGATATTGTGATAAAAATTCACAAATATGTAGGGTGTATATCTATGAAATTAATGTGTACCCTACCAAAGCCAATGTCTCCTAATAAAAATCAAGTTTCACAGATCTGAAACCATTCCGGCCCAGGGGTCCAAATGCTAAATCACTGAACTTTCATCTTTCCCTCCTGGCAGTGCTCTGTGCCACCAGAAATCCAAGGTCCAGAAAGTGCCCAGGTGCATCAGAGCAGGGCTTTCTAAGTGAAAATCCATCAATGGGACATAGACAGAATTCTCACCAATCTCCCAAACTATGTGACATAGCTAGTTATGAATAATTTGTCTCTAACCATAGTTGAATCAAAGCAAAAGGGAGAAATACTAACACTACATTTACAGGTTATTAAGAGGCCTAAGAAATACACACACACACACACGTCTCTAACTATATCTATTAACGCTTGTTATGCCTAAATTAACTCCCTGGAAAAGACACTTTCCTTGATGAACAATTCAAGGATGTTTTCTGGATACTAAGATGTATGTTATATTTTGTGACCTTGCCCCAACCTGAAAAACAATAAGAATACTGGTTATTTAAGACAGAAACGACAATGTTGTTAAACTACAATTCTTGAACAAAAACTGGAGGTCTACATCATGGTCCCATGCTTGTCGAAGTACAGTATTGCAACAATGAAATGATTACGGTAACTCATTTTATACTGAACTAGTGTATTGACCCACAGTTTCCTGGCTATGCATTTTCTAATGCTACTTATTAGAAACACTCAATTGCTAGTTTGATAATTTTATGAACAGGTCCAATGAACCCAGGGCCAAACGCAGGTTCAAACAGGTACCCTCTCCTCAACTCCATTCAGGAGCAAGAGCCTTCACAGGCTTTCCCCTTCACCATCCTCTCCCCCAGGCCCTGCTATTCCAGAATTGCAACCTTAGCATCTTGGCAGCCAGCCTCACCTTCTCCTCAGAGGCTGACATCACCTCTCCCACTACCCCTTCAAAGCACAGAAGCCGGGTCAGATGGGCCGCCATCTGCCTCCTTTCTGCTGCTTGCTTCAGACTTTGCCTGGCACTCTGAGAAGGCCTCTCTCAGAACATCTTCATGGTAAGGTTCTGGCCCTCTGAGAGGCTCTTTATCAGTGGGTAGGCTCTCTAAGAGGGACTCCTAGAGTGTTTCTCTGCTTACGCTGTAGTCCTCTTCCATTTGCCATTGCTTCAACTTAGGTGGCCCTTCTAGCTACACACTTCCCACTTGTGGAGTGCTACACTATGAGGCTCATGGGCCACCAATGTAGGTCATTAAAAATGAAGGCTACATTACAAAAGGGGTGAATGTTTCAGTTTAAACCTGCTCACGTTTGGTCCAGATCCATCAAGCCATGTAAGAGACATTAAAGTACAAATCTATACAGGCAGTCCCCAAGTTACAAACATCCATCTTACAAACAACTCAGTGTTACAAATGGGACTGAGACAACAGGACATGAGAGAAATCTGCCCTTCGGAATGGAAATTCACCGCTGAAAGTTATTATTCACTGAAGTTTCATCACCAATCTTGTTTCTACAACAAGTCAAAAATCCAATCATCACAGGAACAGAAAGTGAGGTGAATTCTTCTGAACAGGAGCACAGACAGCATTAACCCTTCCTTCTGCTATCCAAAGCATGCATGTATGTGTGTGTGTGTTTGTGTGTGTATAAATATCTGGAGTTACGCTTTAAAATGTCCTCTTCCTCTTACAAACACATTCAACTTAATAACAAACCTACAGAACATATCTTGTTCATAACTTGGGATCTACCTGCACAGATCCCAAGTTGTACTATATAACACGTCGCACTGTTAAATTTAGAAAATGAGGAACAAACTAAAATATATGCTTATCCAATTACTTGCTATATGAAAGCATTTCCCGCAGCAAGACTGAAACAACAACCAAATTCTGTGACCTTTCATTTGCTCACAAACCACCATTTTAAATACCTATGGTATAATAGGTAGGGAGAGGCTTGATAGCAGGGCCAGAGTACTCAAGACCTGGATGGGTAAGATGGAGAAGACTTGATACAAATGGTAGAATTTCCTAATAAATAAACTGTTTCCTGGAGGTCCTAAATATCTTTAAAGCACCAGATCCTTTCAAATCTTGGAAACTAAGCAGGTTCAGTCGTGGTTAGTACTTGTATAGTAAAAGAACATGGAATACCAGGAAGCTGTAGGTTATAATTCAGAGAAAGGACTGGGCAAAATTACCTCTTAGTATTCCTTGTCTATGAATTAATGGGGTCACCATAAGTCGACAGGCGACTTGAAGGCACATACATACACAAACCGTTTCCTACGTGTCCTGTTACAGATTAGCAAGCAATCTGTATATACGTAAGGAGAGTGGTGAAAAGAAACTTACAGGCACAAAAATACCAAGGTAGACAAGGTTCGAACAATAATTATAATCTGATGATTTTATGCACAGGAAAAGAATGTATATATTATATCACTTAAACATTTCAAAAACAAAATATCACAACAGAAACTGAAATCAAAACTAAAAATTTTCATAACTGCCATATTTGCAGTTTGGACCTCAAATTTTTCAATCTTTTTCAGGACCATTTCATAATCTATAATCTAATCTGATTCTCCCCTAAAGTCGTGGTACAGGGACAATCTGTTCCTTAAAACATACATTTATTTTTCCTCTTCCTCTAAAATTTAGGAAAAAGCTAACAAATACAAGAGACACAATACAAACTGCACAAATGATTGTCAAAGAATAGAACTATTAAAAAAATCTTGTATACCCTGCTGCGAAATACAACATAGGGAATGCACACAATATATAGGGAATGCACACGTACCAATTCAGCAACCATAAATGGCAACGCCAGTGCAGTTTTATCACTCAAATAGCCTCTCCATTCCCTGTTATGAATTTAGCAGATCACGACATTCAGGACGTCTCCCTCTTTTGAAACTAAGTAGGCTGCTCTTGAATATAACAGTACATGAGGAATAATGCCAACTTCTGTTTTACCTGTACTGCCCTGTACTGCACATATGCAGATATAGACACAGGATGTTTTTAACAACTGTGTGAGTAGTTTAGGGGAAACACTTACCTTTGAGGTCCTCTGCAGCTGATCTCCTACATATGTTTTGCGGAACTGATCCAAAAACCAGAGCACTGCAAGTTCCACTTTCTCATTGCTGGAGCGCTGTAACTGGGCATCCATCAAAGAAATTAACTGGAAGACTCTGAAATGAATAAACCTCTGTAAGATTTTTTTTTCATCCTCAACACTCGAAACAACAGTATATGCAGGGCAGTTTAAATTCATCATTTCCTGAAAAGAGATAATATGTGTTCTTCACACCATTTTTAAAGCTACTGCTGTTCACTGATATGAGTCAATGTGGTAGAGTTTAATCACATTTAATTCAAGCAAGAAAAAAGGGCTACTCTAAATTATAAGGCCTAAAACCACTTGCTACTTTCAAACAGATTACAACCAATGAATCAGTTCCTGGGTGGTAAATCAATATTTGAGTTAGTCCCATTAATATAATGGATCTAAGGGAAATTATGCTGAGGTGTAGATGAGTAAATAGAAAATTCCGAGGAAAATGTGCAGCAATTAGATGAATTTCCACTCATCAAAACTTCTCTTCTGCTGCGATCTAGTTAAAGACACTGAAAATTCTATAGCTACTGTAAAGTTACAGTCTTCTAGAACTAGAGCCCTTCCAAAATGTCTGTGTAGTCATAATTGCAATAGTGTGTTTATCCTCTGCACCAATTGTTGGAAAAGAAGTGAGAGGCAAGATAACATTTCCTGAAAGTGGTGCCTGCTTAGCTACTTCTCTTCACATTAATTACTTTGGCCATTTCTGAATCCAAACAGAATGAAAGTGTGTGTACTATCAACAAGTAGTATCCATGTTACCAAATTATGATCCAAGATTCTCTGTGCTTGTAGTAATTGCTTTCAGTTCTAGCAATTAGTTATTTGCCTATACATCCTGAATAATGACTTTTGCACAGTAATAACTTGTGCCCCAATTTTGCCAGGCTTGAAAGATACTTGTTGTATGGAAAATTAAAACGACACAAGCAAGTAGTTCTTTTTGTTTTGGCATACTTTACATGCTCTTGGCTTCCACAAAGATAACATCAGACCACTATCTATGGTATAATTCTTACTTGTCACATTAAAAAGAGAATAGAGTTGCAGGGCAATGCTTAGAACCTTAGTCACAAATTGAATTTGGCTTTGTTGTTGTGGTATATTTTCCAAGTAATTTTTGACTTATAGTGGCTCTAAGGCAGGGTTGTCAAACTCATTTTCACTGAGGGCCACATCCGCCCTATGGTTGCCTTCAAAGAGCCATTTGTAATTCTAAGACTGTATAAATGTAAGTATGTTGCCCTGTCATTGAAAGCCCTGAGAACCACATAAAATGACGTGGTGGGATGGATTCAGCCCACAGGACTTGTGTTGCCTTAGAGTACACATGCTCTAAGGCAACATGGGCTTTTCTTGGCAAGATTTTTTAAAATGGGAGTTGACTGTGTCCTCTTCTAAGGCCGAAACAATTTGATGTGCCCAATGTTACCTAGTGATTTCCAAGGCCAAGCAAAGATTCAAACCCTAGTCTCAAATGCCTAAACCACGATAAGTTGGTGCTCTTCAATTTAGTTACTAATCTGAAATTTATCATAGTTTTTTGAAACCTCTTCTTCAGTCATCACATGCGGGGAGCGGAATGTCTGAAATTTAGTAAGAATGGTTAAAGATGTTGTCGAAGGCTTTCATGGCCGGAATCACTGGGTTGCTGTAAGTTTTTGGGCTGTTAATCTTTCTAGTTTCCAACAGACCTCACAACCTCTGCGGATGTCTGCCATAGATGCAGGTGAAACGTGAGGAGAGAATACTTCTGGAACATGGCCATACAGCCCAAAAAACTTATAGAAACCTAATGGTTCAAGGGTTTCCACTGCTGCCTTATTTTACATGATAGCAGATACAGTCTTGAAGATATAATACGTAGACAACTTGTGAACTCACCTGTCTGTATCTGAAGGTTTCTGCCTTCAAAACACCTTGTCTNCGGCTGCACTAGCCTGAGAAACTTCCAATAGCCAAACCCAGCTTTTCAAAGCCTCAAAGTTTTGCTTCACAATCAGAATCTGGGTTGTTGAAGGCTTTCATGGCTGGAATCACTGGGTTGCTGGGAGTTTTCTGGGCTGTATGGCCACGTTCCAGAAGCATTATCTCCTGACGTCTCACCCACATCTATGGCAGGTATCTTCAGAGGTTGTGAAGTTGTCACATAGATGTGGGCGAAATGTCAGGAGAGAATGCTTCTGGAACATGGCCATACAGCCCAGAAAGCTCCCAACAACCCAGAAATCAGAATAGTTTTTCAGTATTGACTCAATCTGTGGGTTGACCTAACATTATCTGATAAGGTTGTTTTTTTGTTAAATTTCCAAAACACCCCATGTGCAAAAGGGTAATGTAACATTTGGCCTCTTGAGCAAGTGGCCCTGTACACAAGATGCTGTTTACCCAAGACGTTTCCATCAGACACAATCAAGATTACCTAACGGGGGTTTGCAACTAACTGTTGCGAATGCCCCACCTTGCGACAGGTATTGCTTTCCAAAGAAACAAACCTAAGGCAAGAGAGGTGAAATGTCAACTGTGGAAATGGAGGGGAGGGGCGAAAAAAAGAGTTGTAACTGACACATATGTGTGGAACCTGTAATACTCGGGGGGAAACAGCACACTGTTTTCTTTCCTTTCCTTCTCTCCCACCTTTCCTTTCCTTCTCTCCCAACTCCTAACTCCTCACTCCTCTAAACCTAACTCCTGACTGCTCACTCCCCTAAACCTAAACCCTAACTGATTTTTAACTGTCGTTTGTTCAAACTCTCCCCGCTAAGCTCCTCCCACTTCCCTCTCTCCAGCATCGGTCTCCATGGCAACGCCCATGGAGGACTCCTCTGACTTAGGCCGCTCCAGCATTACTGCAGCCAATCTAAACACAAATACAGTTAAAATCATACAATTTATAATCAACTCCTGTACACCTTCCCCCACAGAAAAATTATTTTTGGGCCATTCTCACTCCCGGAATGGGCAAAAATAATTCCACAAATTATCCAACAATATCTAAATACACAATATTTCTGAAAGGCAATCACAATATGGTTAAATATATTATAATGCATATATACAAACCTTTTACCATACGAAATTCTAGATAAGGCGTCTGCGACTATGTTTCGTTTACCTGAAGCATGTTTAATTTCAAATGTAAAATCCTGTAAACATAAACTCCATCTCAATAATTTGTTATTCGTACCTTTTACATTATCTAGCCATCTTAATGGAGCATGGTCCGTTTGTAAGGTAAACTTTCTCCCCCACAAATATGGCTTTAATTTTTTTACTGACCATATGATGGCATAGCATTCTTTTTCAATCATTGACATGTTATATTCATTGGAATGCCATTTTTTACTCAAAAACAAAATAGGTCTGTCCTCACCCTCTACATCTAACTGGCTTAGGACAGCTCCTAGCCCAGTATCCGATGCATCACATGTTAGAATAAAAGGTTTATCAAAATCTGGCGCAATTAGGACCGAATCCGAAGTAATGGCTTTCTTCAATTGATCCATGGCAGTTTGACAATTTGGAGTCCAAATTACCTGATTCGGGTTCTTCTTTTTGGTAAGATCCGAAAGAGGGGCTGCCAAATCACTAAAAGATGGAATGAATTTACGATAGTATCCAGCCAATCCAAGGAGTGCCCTAACCTGTTTTTTTGTTTTGGGCACAGGCCACTGGTGAATAACTGCCACTTTAGTAGGGTCAGGTCAAATACAACCTCCTCCCACTAAATGTCCTAAATACTTGGTAGTATTGTATCCTAACTTGCACTTGGAAGCTTTAATAGTTAACCCTGCTTCCCTCAACCTACTTAATACCAGATCCAAATGTTCAAGGTGAGCTTCCCATGAATCACTGAAAATCCCTATATCATCGATATAGGCCACGCAGAAAGACCCCAGCCCACTTAAAACTCTGTCCACTAATCTCTGAAATGTGGCTGGGCTGTTCTTTAACCCAAATGGAAGTACGGAAAATTCAAATAGCCGATTTTGGGTCCGGAAGGCGGTTTTATGTTGATCCTGTGGTGCCATGGGCACTTGCCAAAATCCTTTGGTTAGATCTATACTACTAATAAAATTGGCCTTCCCCATCCTTTCCAGCAAATCATTCAAACATGGCATAGGATAAGTATCTGTTTGGGTTACCTTGTTTAATTGCCTATAATCTACACAAAATCTAATTGTCTTGTCTGGCTTCTGTACTAATACTATGGGTGAAGCCCAAGAGCTAATCGATGGAACAATGATACCTAGGTCCAACATTTCTTTAATCTCCCTTTCAATACATTCATTGGGTCTCCCTGTGACCCTGTAGGGTGGACATACTATAGGAGCTACATCACCGGTGTTTATTTGATGCTGGACTCCCTGGACCTTTCCTGGTAAATCTGAAAATATATCTTTATATTTACTCAAAATTTCCACAACCTCTCTTCGCTGTGGTTGGGACAATTCACTGTTTATTTCTACCCGATCCAAATTTTTGTATTGTTCACGATCACCCTCCCAAAAAGAAAAGGGACCGGATTCTTCTTCCGAAACAACAAAATAAACATTAGCAGACCTTCTAACATAAGGCTTTAACATGTTTACATGAACTCTTCTTTCCACATTTGAATGTTCATCATAAATATCATAGTTTATTTGATTGTGTTTCCTGGTGATCTTCCAGGGTCCCGACCAATCTAATTGCAGTTTGTTGGTTTTGTTGGGAGATAAAAACAAAACTTCATCTCCGATGTTGAAGATCTTTGGCTTAGCAGTAGAATCATAATAGTCTTTTTGTCTTTGCTGAGCTGCAAGCAAATGTTCTTGTGCAATGTCCCTAGCCAGTTGCATTGTTGATTGAAGATCCTTTAGGTACTCCGACACTGGAACTGGATCTGTTGCTGGATTTTCCTCCTAGTATTCCTTTATCAGGTCTAATGGACCATGAGCTTTCCTTCCATATAGCAATTCAAGCGGACTGTAGCCAGTACTGTCATGAGGGACGGTCCTGTAGGTGAATAACAGTTGTTGTACTTTGACGTCCCAGTCGTATGGCTTCTTTTGACTGTAAGACTTTATCATTTTGACTAAAGTCTTGTTCAGATTTTCAACTAGTCCATTTGTCTGTGGGTGATAAGCTGTTGAAGTCAGGTGTCTGATTCCACATAACTCAAGCAATTTTGACATAAGTCTGGAAGTAAATTGAGTTCCCAAATCAGAAACCAATTCTCTAGGATAACCAGTTCTTCCCCAAATGGATAACAGTGCATTTGCAATCGTTGTTGTCTCAATGTTAGTTAGAGCTACAGCCTCTGGATATCTTGTGGCGTAGTCAATCATGGTTAGAATGTATCTGTAACCACGTCTGCTTGGCTTACAAAGAGGACCAACTATGTCAATGCCCACTCTGTAAAATGGTTCTGCAATTACCGGCATAGGGATCATAGGAGCTTTAATTTTATCCCTTCCAGTACTCAATCTTTGGCAGATATCACAAGACTGGCAAAACTCTTTGATCTTCTGGAACATGCCAGGCCAATAAAAGTTTTTAGTGATCCTCTTTGTGGTTTTCCTCACGCCCAGATGACCACCGTGAGGGTTCTCGTGTGTCGCCCTCATCAGCTGTTCTCTAAAACTTTGAGGCACTACAATCTGATTACATGTCATTGATCCTTCTGTTGACTTCATGTTTCTGGTTTCTCTATACAAGACACCATTCTTTAACACAAACTTGGAGGGCTGCCCTTTTGCTGATACTGTGAGGTTTTGAGCCAAAGCGAACAAAGGTTTTAGAAATTCATCTGCTCTTTGTTCCTGTTGAATTTCTCTGACTCCTCCTGTCTTCTTAATAAGCTCAGCAACCATAGTGCTGGATTCTGGATTCTCATCCCCCTCCTGTTGTATGGCGAAACACATGGCTTTTTGATCAGGGCTTTTGCTGTTATATTCTTCCTCCTCACACATCATTCTCCACTTTCCAATCTTTTTAGCCAGATCATTTCCAATTAAACACCTGTATGGTATGTCTGGACTGACTGCAAAATCCCACATACCCTTCCAACCTCCATATTCTATTGGCAAAGACACTACTGCTGTTGGTATTGCAGGTCCCAAGCCTTTTAATCTTATTTCAGAGGTAGGATGCTGAAATTTCTGAGGTATTATATCTGGATGTATAATACACACATCAGATCCTGTGTCCCGCCACCCTCTCATGTCTTTGTTGTCAATGGAAATGGATTCTAAGTAATCCTCAGTTGCGGTGTTTGACAAAATGAACAAACATTGTTTCTCTTGAGGCACCGTTTCCGAACTCTCCTTTGACACAGTATTTGGTTCTGTTTTCTTTGTTTCTTTTACTTTATTAACGAAGAGGGTTGTCTTTTCTTTTCTTAAAAGGGGACATTGATACCTTATATGATCCCACTTTCCACACTGAAAACACCTAATTTTTCCCTCAGGAGCAGTTTGACTTGTTACACTCTGCCTCCTCCAGGAGGGGTTTTCTATTGCAGGACCTTTTCCTTGTTGTGGGCGCGTTTGATGTTGGTAAAATGGCTGCCTGTTTGTCCTTTTATCATTTGGCAGATCTTCCCTTTTGAATCCTTCTTTTAGGGTAATTAATTGATCTACCATAACCGCTGCCTCTACTACAGTGGATGGCTTTCGATCCTGTACCAGCCACCGAAAATCGGAAGGTATCAATTGGAAAAATTGTTCCAATTTTAAAAGTTCTCTCAGTTGTTGGTAATTTTCCACCTCAGACGTCCTTAGCCAACTATCGAACAGTTGAGACAATCTAGAGGCCACCTGAGCGAAACTTTGGTTCTTATCTCTTTTCAGAGTCCTGAACTTGAATCTGTAAAATTCAGGTGTTAATTGAAATTTCTGTTGAACCTGTCTCTTAAATAAATCATAATCCCCATAGGACTCCTCAGGCATTTCTCCATATATTTCTAAGAGCTTTCCACTTATTTGAGGCCTTAAGTACGTCATCCATTTTTCCTCAGCAACTCCAAAATCTTTACAACATCGCTCAAACAAGGTTAGAAACTTCTCTATATCGTCATCCTTAGTAAATTTAGGAAATACTAGGTTCTTGTAGGTTTTTTCGAGCTATAGGGCCATGTTCTAGAGGCATTTCTCCTGACGTTTCGCCTGCATCTATGGCAAGCATCCTCAGAGGAAGTGAGGGGGGGTGGTGGGCTAATTTTTTGCTTTTGCAGTTCAATTTCCATTCTCCTCAATTCTATCTCCTGTTCTCTCTCTTTTTGTCTTTCCTCAAACTCTCTTTCCCTTTGTTTTGCCTCTATTTCCAATCGTTTCATCTCTAGTCTGTGCCATTTCTGACACAGACACTGGCTCTGTTTCTGCTTCAGAGCCCAAACTTCCTTCTTGGTCTCCCATTGTTTCCTCAACAAGTTTTTTCTGTCATCTGGTAGCCATATTTCAATAACTTTTACCTCACAAATTATTCTCAAAGTAGTCTTAAGGCACTCAATCAGTTGTTAATCGTATCCCGTCGTCTGCCACCAATTTGAAAAGAAGCAGGGGAGCTGGGGGATGATTTATTGTTGCCACCAATTTGAAAGGAACCAGTATTCAGGAGATTTTTCCCCAGTTCCCAATTTTAAAAAGACTTAGCCGACTTGCAATGGAGGTTGCCGATTAGGAACCAAATTTACCATCAAGTTAGAAGGGAGGCTGTTCAATTGCACCTCCTCCTTTATTAAGAAAGTAATAACTTAGTAATAATTACACTGTATATACTGTAGCGTGACTGGAGAGAAGAATGTAGATTTATTTGGTTACTTTTCCCTACGTTTCTGCCACCACGTGAGGTAAGTTGTAATATTGTGAGAAATTGCACTTTGGACTCAGAATAGACGGAGCTGAGGCAATCTTTAAATAAAAGTTAACAATTTTATTAAGTACACAGCGTGTGGTTGCAAGATGTAACTTTTCCTTGTTGCACTTG